TTAAGATCGAAGAATTAATTAATGGCAGGACTTCTTTGAGCAGTTTTGTAGGAATGGGGTCTAAAAGACACGTTGATGGTTTGGAGGAAGTAATACTTGTAGTAAACATGACTATAGTGGTTTGAAAACATGAGAATATCATCCAAGTAGACAAAGATGAAGCAATTAAGGAAGTCCCAAAGCACATTATTTACCAACGCCTGGAAGACAACCAGAGCATTGGTAAGTCCACGTGGTGGGACAGGGTAGATGCCCCAGGTGAGTATAGAAGGTAGTCTTCCACTCGTCGCAATGGGATCGTAGATGTTTCGCAAAGATTGTGGCTCTTTGCAGAAGAAGTTAAAAGGGAGAAGATAACAGATGTAAAGGTTGTTTGTTTTTAACAATTCAAACCTCTAAAGTTAATGCAAGAAATCCAGCTCCCAGGAAATAGGACGAGGGTGGGATGATGTCAGCAGCTAATGAATGGTGGGTGTGTTTTTCCATTGGCTCGTGTTCTGATTAGGTGAGACTGTATAGGCAGCTTAGGGGCAGAGATCAGGCACCAGGTAAGGATGTCAATAACACAATTGTATGGTTGCTGGGAGGCAGCGAGAGCCAATCGTGATGTTCAGTCAGGATGGAAGACAAATGTGGACCCTCTAAACCGATTTGTAAGACAACAGCTTCTCCTGGAGGAAACATAGACTGCAGACCAAAGTCATCACAACTCTTGCAGCCAAATGCAGGACACTGAAGTAAAAGTTTAACAGGTACAGAAGAAAAACACATAATATAAGTAATACAAAGAAGTATTTTCTGAATGGAGTTGGCAGAGGGACAGGCAGATAATTCACTCAGATGAAAATTCAGGTGGATTTCCTGAATTATCCATGGATGTCCTGTTAACTTGGACTAAGAGGACATCCAAGTTAGTCCAGTGTAGGCAAAACATAACAGAGTAACCCGTGGTACATGTGGAAGCCACAGTAAGTACAATGAGCTGGCATCGACTGAGGGATTTCTACAGCCTAAGTAGCAGGAAGGGAATGACCAGCTGCACACAGCTGTGTTATTATAAGATGAAGAGAGGGAGACAGACAATGATGCATTCACACAGCTGGACTCCCAGATGGTGGTAGAAATGATGCCATCCTTTTTGGGCAGATAGTCGTAACGTGTGTGAGATGGAGGAACATGATCCTTTATTTTTCTGGTTGATAAATATGAATGACATGACATTTAAATTCCAAAGTGTGTATAGTATTTGACCATGTGTTATCAACATTTTTGTAAACAATCATGAATATGAATTTTCATGTGTGTGCGGGTGCACGGGTATGTTGGTATGGGTATATATATATTTTTGTAGGTTGTGTATCCTTGAGGTGAAAATGTGTATATGTGCGTATGTGTATATACGTATGTATGGATAGACAGAAACATATATGTATATATTAAAAAAATAAAAAATTTACACATGACATATAATGTAATTGCAAGGAGGTATTTTTGTAGTCTATATACGGGATTAAATAAGCTTATGCTTCTTCCTGCTCCTTTTTGAACATGAACTTTATTTGGAGTTGTGGTTGCTCGTTTTCCTTTTGTTTTGCTTTGTTCATTTGCCTCTTTTAATTCTATTTTGTTGTACTTTTTCAACATGTTCAAAATAAAGATTCAATCAAATCAAATCAAATCAAATATCGAGTTATGGAATATAGAAGATATTTGACTGCACATCGGTTGAAACCTAACGTGTGTGTGCTGGCAGCAGAGTCATTATTAAAGGATCACACATAAACATAGAGTAACACACAAACTACCCTTAATTCAAGTACACAGAGAATCTCTGTATTAATCATGCAGACAGTACTGTGAAAGAACAGGATTTGGGAAGATGGGATATGTCCCCGAGGGATGGAGGAACAGACTTTAATCACATGATGAATATTGAGTATCACACTGCTGGCTGAGAGTGAGGTTTGCCAGTTATGCTCGTGTTATAGCAGCAGTGACTAAACATGCACTCTGGTGTCTGAGGCTGGTCCTGCCACCTTCATCAGCTCAGCGATGGGTCTGGATTCGTCTCATTCTCAGCAGCTCCTTTGTAGACACTCACAGCTTTAATCCATTATAGATCTGCATCGCAAAGTCGGCTGCAGCCAAAGTAGTCTCACATAAGCCTCGTTGCTGGATTCTACAGCTGGGATTGGATCAAAGCTTTTTTAGTCTAAACTGGTTACCTAAATGGTTTAGAAGAGAAAAAATACATGAAAGGTAAAAAGGTTTCATACATTATATGTGGGATGATTATTTATTTTTGCTTCAAAGGTGCTAACATAATATCCAATGCCCTCATGTATGCCATCATGTGTAGTTTCACGTGAAGCCAAAGACACTCTGGAGATCAAAGTGTGAATAAAAGGCTACAAACCAAAATGACGTGTGGCTAAGTTTGATGCAAGCTTGTAATAGCCGGCTTTGTTGTTCCCTTGGTTAACTTAAACGAACATCATTGTTTTTATTTTATTTATTTCAAAATAAGCCAGAGAGTGTTGGTCCTGTTTACAGGCGACCTCAGTGACTGCACAGAGCCTGCCAGGGTTCACAGTAACAGTCCTAGGTTGATTCAAAAAAGAGGCTGTTTAATGGAGAAAGCGAGTCATGCTGCAAAGATAAATGAATGCTTTGTTTGTGCGTATTAATCCGTCCTCGTGTCACATCTGCAGACCGTAAAGTAGCAGAGTCCACGCCGACCTTCCTCTCACCATCAGGAAGTGAGAGCTCCAAAATGGTGCTGCGAGATGAGCAGCTGCTGCTGGAGTGTATCGCTGCTGGACTGTGAGTGCACTGTCACACACACGTACTGCGTAATGATAAGATTAATACTGCCATTTGTTTGAAAAGTGGCACATGAAGCTGAACTTTGAGGTCTTGTCTTTCCTACCGTTGCTTTCTCGTCCAGTCCAACACCCATCATCAAGTGGTTTAAGAAAGGTGGGGAGCTGCCAGGGCAGAAGGTCAAGTTTGAGAACTTCAACAAGACCCTGAAGATCGTTAGTGTGTCAGAGGAGGACGCTGGCGAGTATGTATGCATGGCCAACAACCATTTAGGCACCATACGCCACTCCATCTTTGTTCAAGTTAAAGGTGAGTAGGCCTATTGGCTCTGTGTTTCTTGAATGTACAACTGGTGCTAACATGTTGGCCTTGTGCCCAACAGCGGCTCCTTACTGGTTACACAAGCCATCAGACCAGGTGCTAGCCCCAGAAGAGAATGGACGCCTGGTATGCCGGGCCAATGGCAACCCTAAACCTCGCATTGAGTGGCTTGTCAATGGGCAGCCTATAGAGAGTATGGTTCTTTTTAATTATTGTTACAGAACATCAGCCTTGTTTTTGATGCACAATTGTAATGTACTCACTAAAAATGCTGCATAAACATCAGAATATACGACAGCTACCAACAGTCTTTTCTTTGTCTTCCTGTCGGGATCATGTAACCCTCCTCCGCCCGACTGCAGGCTCTCCCACCAACCCAAACAGACAGGTGCTGGGAGACACCATCATGTTTCACTCTGTGCAGATCGGAAGCAGCGCCGTGTACCAGTGTAACGCCTCCAACGAGCATGGCTATTTGTTAGCCAACGCCTTTGTCAACGTTCTTGGTGAGACACAGAAGTGGGAGCTTGATTTCAAAAGAAAAACATAGCAGTGAGCCTATTAGCTCTGCACATCCAGAGTGTGCTGTAGCTCACTGGCTTCAGGACTGGTTTTAAACCTTATCCAGAAGTGACCATAGTGGTTACACTGCCAGGTAAACGTTTGGACTAGTTTTTGTTCTTTATAGATTTTAATCACCACTTTATCATCAAAGTCCTTGTGACTGGAGCAGGCAGCACTTTGTGCAGGAGGACAGATGATGACCAGTGTGGTGATATGTTATTGCTGACCTTTGTTCATGTAAACTCATGTTTTTACTATGAGATCCATGAAACACACACACACACACACACACACACACACACACACACACACACACACACACACACACACACACACACACACACACACACACACAC